TGGGGATTTAGCTCAGCGGCAAAAGCGCCTGCCTGGCAAGCGCAAGGTCGTGAGTTCGGTTCCCGGTACCGGAGAAAATCCAAAAAAAAAAAAAAACCAAAAAAAAACCAAAAAAAAACAAAACATAACAAAAACAGAATTGGAAAACTCGAGCAAAGAAAATGGCATGAGGGCAGGCAGGGAAAGAAGTACCCTTTCTCTTTTGTTACTGTAAGAAGATTCTGAGTTTAGGAGAATAAACTCTAATAAAACAATAGTGTCATTAATAATGCCACAGTGATGATTGGCATTTCTTGAGCTCTTCTATGTGCCAGGCACTATCCCATGAGCTTCAGGTAAAGAGTTATCCCTTGGTATCCCTTGGAGATACCCCCCACAGATACCAGTCCCTTATACAAAACAGGGTAGCATTTCTGTGTAACCTGCACACATCCTCCTATGCACTTTACACAATCTCTAGATTTTATAGTACTCAATACAATGTAAATACTTGTTATATTGTACTGTTTAGGGAATAATGAGAAGAAAAAAAATACATGTTCAGTACAAATTCAGTTTAAAAAAATATTTTCAATCCACAGTTGATTGAATACAGAGACAAATCCACAATTACAAAGGGCCAGTTGTATTATCTTATTTCATTTTCACAAACCCATTACATATTCATTTATTTATTAAAAATTTTTGCTGAACACTTGTGTCTTTGTAACTTTTCTCATTTCTGAGACAAAATACCCAACACCCAGAGTTAAAGGGGAAAAGGTTTATTTGGCTCACAGTTTATAGAGGTTTCAGTTCATAATTGGATGGCTCCAAGGCAGGATGGCGTGGCATTCAGGCCTCGCAGAGGAGAAACATTCATGGCAGGCAGAAGGTAGCAAAGCAGTAAGAGCTTAACTGCATCTTTCTGCCCCTTTTATACTCTATCTAGGCTTCTGGGATTAGAGTGGTACCAAACCAACGAGTGAACTGACTTAGTAATCACACATCCTTAATCCCAGCATTGCACCATGAATCAATCTCACACTCTAGAACAAGCAACCATTGAAAAAACCCCACTATGACAGCATGACACTTTGGGGGGACATCTAGACACAAGCCATAACAACTTGCAATGTGCTAGATGCTAGGGTTACAGTAATAAAGCAGTCATCATCTCTGCTTCTGAAGAGCTTATAGTATAGTGGGAGAACTTGACATTAAGCAAATGAAAATAAATATTTAATGATGTGATAGATGACATGAGTGATGAAACAGAAAAAGAGCACTCACTTTAGATTGAGTGGCCTACGAAAGTCTCTCAGAGAAGCTGACATATTTAAGCTGAGACATAGAGAATAGCAGGCACCCAGAAGCTGGAGGAAGGGCCTTAAGGCAGATGTAAATCACTGTAATTGAGAATTTTTTCTCCCCTAGAGGAGCTGAAAGATCAGGGAAAATATACAAAGAAAAGGGGTGTGTGTAGAGGGTGGGTGTAGGAGTGGTGCTGCCTTAGTCTGGGATGGGCAAGGTCATGGAGACTGGATTTCATTCTGAATGCAGGGGTAAGCCTGCAGGACTGTAAGCAGGCAAACAAAGGATCTGATTTATATTAAAAACATTACTCTCACTATCTTGTAGAGAATGGATTGGAGGGAGACAAGAACAAAATAAGGAGAGTTGTTCAGAAGTTATTGTGATCTTCCAGGTTAGAGTTGGTGACAGTTTGGTAGGTGATAGTGGTTGAGAAGTTGCAGAGAAATGAATGGGGTCCAGACATATTTTATAGTTAGAGTCCAAAAGGCTCAGCTATGGAGAACTTGTAGGCAGGAATGACTTAGATTTCTGGCCCAGGCAATGGAGCTGATGTATTGCTATCTTTTTTTTTTTTTTTTTTTTTTTTTTTTCACAGTCTACGAGACTAATGTGCCAACATGCTAGATAATGTATCTCAGGAGGTATGTCTAGGAAATGATGTATCAGGAAATAAGTGTGGGCCCGCCCACCATCAAACACTACACACTTAACCAATGCACTATATTGTCTTTTCATTGAGTCACATCCTGCTGCTTTCTAAAATTTGAGCCATAGTTGCCTGCTGAATTATAATCTGTCAGCCATAACTCTGTTTAGTTATCAAAGAGAAAGTCAGTATGCAGGTGTGCTATCCAAAGTATGTTTCATCCTAGTCAGTTGGAAATCATTACTTGGTTCCTAGGCAGGAAGTGATGTTTCTCCTTAAGAGTTTGGCCTAGGCAAACGAGCTCAAGTCTGAAGACTGGAAGTGATGATCCTACTGAGGATTTAGTTTCTGTTACCAGAGAGTTTCTGTTACTTCTTTTTGTTGTCTCCCATGGGATCATGAGATTGGTCATCCTGATGTTCTCTGAAGCTTATCTGCAACTTACTTGTTGCTGTGAAAGGCATTTGTCCTGGGAGAAGTGGGCTTATTCTGTAGGAACAAGAGGCAAATAAAATAGGTTAATAGAGACCAGAACCTCAGCCATCACTTCATGGCTATGGCGAGATGATGGGAGAGCCCTAACAGGAGATATTAATGATACTGACAGCATGAAGCAAGATGAAATTAAAAACAACTAGGTTAAACCTCAGTTATGTTTCATGCTCTTACTTCTTGAGTATGGTTTGGTGATGTTCTGAAACTTTCTACATTCCCCCTGGAATCTGTGCATCTGTAAAAGGGACTCTTTATTTATACTTTATTAGAATAAAATAATATGTCTAGGGAGAGAGGTAAGAATATAAGAATAGGAAAAATTATGGTTTTACCTGTTTGGAATGATTAATTGTAGAATAAATTGTAACAGAATCATTGCCTTTTCCTTTTGGAAATGTTGGGATTTCCATTTTCTGTAAAAAGAATAGTATGCATTTGATTCACACAGAGATAAGAGATTCATAGGCTTATATAATAGATACATGTACACACACATATACATATCATGGTGTTATGGCTTGTGTTTAGATGTCTCCCCAAAGCCTCATGCTGTCACAGGTCAGGCTTTTTCAAAGGTGGCTGAATCCTGAGTGTGTGACTGATTCATGGTGTGATGCTAGGATTAACGGTGCTAGGATTAAGGGTGAGTGATTACTAAATCAGTTCACTGATTGTTTTGGCACTGCCCTAATCCCAGTAGCATGGATACAATATAAGGGACAGAAAAAAGCTTGTCTTACCCCTTTACTTGCTTTGCTACCTTCTGCCCACCATGAACTGTTTCTCCTCTGTGATGCCCTCTGCAATGCCATCCTGCCTTGGAGCCTGCTGATGATAGACTGAAACCTCTACTGTAAGCCAAATAAACCTTCCTCCCTTAACTTTGGATGTTGGGTGTTTTGTCTCAGCAATGAGAAAAGTAACTAAGACATTTGAGAAAGCAATGTGACAAAATAGGAAATACATCAAAGTTTTTGGAGAAAAACTCAAAAGAAGTGTTTAGTAAGAGGAGCTGGAGGCGAACTGCCACCAACTCAGACCTGCAAAACTGTCATGGCATTTTCTGATCCCCAAACAAAAGAGCAACAGCACAGTAAACCGGGGGGCTCAAGAACCAGAGAAATAAAGAGACAGAATGGCTGTCTTGTTTTGTAAAGGGAGGGAAGCGCTCTTGTCCTGTGTCCAACTACACTCTCTCCTTTATTTTTAAGAACTGTCTTGTATACCAGATGATTGTTGTATTACATCTTTTGTCTCAGGTTTTCACTAGCTGGAGCTGGAGCTGCCCAGTTTCCCCACCCTGATTGTCCCTATCCTTCTATCTGGTCACCATGTTATTGAGGTCTTCTCAGGCACCAGAAATTGGCAGATTAGGGACATCTGGCCTTCTGAATGGCTCTGTGTGAATATAGTTTGGCTATATCAACAGAAGTCCTCCTGTAGCTTGAAGATCTTGTTCATAAATTTTGACCTTTTAAATTAATGAAATAATATTGAAATTAATGAAAGAATATTTAGAGAATTATTAAGGCCTCAGAAACTCTCCAAAGTATAATTTTTTTTTTTGGCTAAAGAAAAAACTAACAAATTGGCCAGAGATTAGTTTTTTGATTTGCTGAAGCGTCTCAATTTGCCTTCAACAGGAATTGGCAAGTGAGAGTGTCTCTTTTTGTCCCCTCTTCAAGGAGCCTACCTCACAAGCAGGGGCTGAACCTTGCAAGGGGCTGAGCCAGGGGAATCTGGTGGGGGAAACTCAAGATTTCCAGCTGAGCTACCATTTCCATCACCTTCACAATGCTAGGTTTTCAGAGAACTGGCCTCACAGAATGTACTGTATAGTGTTATTTAGCACATGCTACCACAGGTGCTCTATGTTAGGGGGGTGAGGACGGAAGAGTGACAGACAAGTTCCTGGTGCTTGATAAGCAATAGGCAGTAACAGGACATCCTGTGGTGTTACTAGGAGAGATGGGAGGAGTGAAGGCTGCTCATGGCTTTAGTGTCCTCTATTATGGAGAAGCTGTGGGTTTTCACCTCTTTTCCATTCCTGAGAGACTAATTCTAAGCTACCTGAAAGGCCCTCACTCCAGCATGAGGAAACTCTTCTTTGGAACCCTCTCCTTTGGAAACCTTCAAACTTATAGGAACTGATCTGTTTAGCAAATATTTACTGAATGTTGTGCTGAACTATAGGGGGAGAGAGAGGAAGATCTACTTTGCACAACCATGCTGCAGGCTATGCTGCAGGGACAAGACCTATGGATGCCGAAAAAGTTAGAGAACATCAGAAAGCAAGCAGAAATACCCATTCCCTTAGAGGGACCACAGGGACACTAGAATGGTCCTGCACACAGCTTTGCATCTTTGTTGTTCCCTCCTCTCCCCTAACTAGCTGATATCATCTGGATGAATCAGATGATTGTGTTGACAAGTTTGTGGCTAATCATGGCAAGAATAGAAACAGCAATGGAATGTAAAGGACTCACCGAGTATGGATGAGTGACATGCGCATACACAGTGCTCCCTGGAGAGATGGAAGCAAGCTCTATGTTCTCTGAGGGCTCTGTTGTTAACATAAAAGGCATCATCAGTGACAGGACACTGGGACTCCTCCCCCAGGTCTGCATCTTCCCCAGAGTACTTTCCCTCCCCAAAGAAGCACTTGCTCAAAGTCTGGCTCTTCCATTGGGCCCATTCTTTTTTTTTTTTTTTTTTTTTTTGACAGTCTTTGGAGCTCTGGGTTGAAGCAGAGCATCCTCAGTCATGTGGTTTACTTCTGCCCTCATATTTTGGATGGGTGGATGATCTTGAGGTGCCTTGAAGCTTCAGCCTCTCCCTCAAGCTCTCCTACATGTGGAAAACAAAGTGGCACTGTTGGCAGAAGGGGGATCTACCAAGCATAAAACAGCCAATGAATCCCTATGTATAATGCCATTAAGCTTTCAGAGGCTCTTAGAGTGGGTTTGATTAACCTAGAGATGAAGAACTTCTGGCTCAGAAAGCTCAAGTGACTTGTGTAAAGTCACACAGGAAATGATGGGACAGGGACGCAAATGCTTATTTTCTGACTCTAGACCTCGTGCCCTTTCCTCAACACTGTATCTGTATGTCTCACCTACAGAGTGAAATTCAAAGTCTATCTGAGTCCAGAACCTGCGTTCCCATCTCTATACCACGATTTTCATTTGATATCACAGTATGTCTTCCACTGCCCAAACCTTGGCCAAACACCATTGGTGAAGTCAGGCAGTTTGGCTTTTGTCTTTGATATTCAGATCTCACCCCCTGCCTTGGATTGGCTGGGTGGCAATGGACAGATTGTGAGCCTTTTCACCGTACTTATTTTCTCCATCAAAAGGAAGGGGAACAACCCTGATTTTGACATGAGAAACTGTGAAGGACATCGCAGGTCTCACGGTTACAAGTTATCTCCCCTCACACCATGGGGTCCCTCTGAACAGTGACATTCTGACTCTCTTCTCTCATTGTCCAACCCTCTGTTTAGCGCCTTTCTGCTTGCATTTGGTTCTCTCTCTCTTTATGATTGCCACCGAAGAGTCTGGATGCTCACCAGAATGCTGGGTAGGCAAATGAAGGGAGCCTGAAAAATGAAATCAGGTCATCAAAATGTGTGACTGCAGTGAAAGAGACCTTTGACCTCCTCCCCCAGGGTGTTCTGTAGAGAATGTGGGTCCCAGTGGGGTGCCTCCCTTAGGACGTTAGCAGATGCACGGTCACACCCTGGGAATCACCGCAGTGGACGCGCTGAACCGAGGTTCGCATTCTCCCTCCCTTCACCTGTCCTCCACGACAGAGCCTTGGCAATCAGAGGCTACCGACTGCAAACCTGAAACCTGGAGGAGAGACAAGAAGGAAGGAACTTGCCTGTTTTTTTCTTGTAAATGAGTATCAAGGCAATGATGATTATAAATATCACACAAACTGTTATCAAGGTTAGATTTTTCCACTGTAGATTTTCTTTAGTTAAAATACCTGAAAAGAGAAAACAGAAGTGGAGTTTCTTGAGGCACATCAGGTAAGGCCCGGTGTGTTTTTTCCAGGGCCTTCACTGAGCCCCTTCTAGGTTTCCTGCAGCGGGGGGGCTGGGTGCTTCTTACCCAGAGCTTTGGGGCTCAGATGAGCTCTCTGGGGAGTGGGATTCTGTGTGGCAGCAGGGCAGGGCGGGACTTGGGAGAGACGGGCGGGATGGGGGAAGACATCTTGCCTTCCTCAAGCCTTTGTTCCGGGAGGAGGGGAAGCCTTTGTTCTTGGGAAGGAGGAGGAAGAAAGGAGAAACCTCTGGGAGGAAGTGAGAGGCACAGAACTCCAGCTGTCCTCTCCCAGGTCCTGTGTGGCTGCCTCCCGCTGCCACTGTTTGGGACTCACGCAGCCCGTGAAGACGTGCCGCCCCCCATGGCTGCTCAAGGCTCTCAGAGAGACCCGAGGACACCCGTTACCTTTACAAAGATTCTTGGCAGAGACAGGGCAAGATAAATTGCTGACAGGGTTCTCCGCTACGCACACGTAGCTCTGGTCCCTGGAATCCTTGGAGTCCCAGGAGACAGTGAGGTTTGGCTCACTCAGAGAGGTATTTTCTGAGAGCTGCCACCCAAATGAGACAGCGTCATTTACGTTCTCCACAGAGCAAGTCAGGTAGATCTTGCAGGTTCCATTCCCAGACAACTGAATGTGATGAGAAACTTGTAAGTTATGCAGTCGCCCTGTATACAGAGGAAAGACTGGAGTTCAGGACAAATGGTTTGGATCCTTCACACCTATGTTTTTTTTTTTTTTGGTTTTGGTTTTTTTCCGGTACCGGGAACAGAACTCACAACCTTGTGCTTGCCAGGCAGGCGCTTTGCCGCTGAGCTAAATCCGCAGCCCCACACCTATGTTTTGTATACAATCTCTGCTTATGCCATGGTCTGTATACTCTAAAAGCTCTGCTTGTGTTGCCTAACTGCTGCTGGCAAGGTTTGGGGAGACCAAATGAAGGGACATCAGTATGAGACAAGGTAACAAGTGGGAGAGATGGGAAGGGAGAGACTGGGTTATCACCAACTGTTTGGGGAATTTAGGGCTGGCCGCTTTAACTTTCTCGGGTACCTTTTAGTGCTTGGACATTGCCCCTTGAAAAGACAGTAGAGATTAAGTTGGTGGCCCTGAGGCAAGAGCAAGCAGGCATCCCCGGGGAGCACAGAGATGTGATTATATTCAGCCATTTGAGATGACACAAGATACAGAAATTTTCAAGACCAAAGACTAGAAAACATTGTCAAGAAGAATGTTAGTCGCTGTGAATCATTGGGCAAGTGAGAGCAAAACAAGCCAATGCCCCTGACCTTGTCGGAGTCCGAAGGTCCAGGTGAGACGACTCAAAAAAGAAAAGAATGACTTCAACTCTCTGATTAGAAAGGACTGACTAATGTTTTAAACTTAATCAATGGAGCAACAGTTAGGTATTATATACAACCTACTTATGCCTTGTCAGAATGGAGTTTTTGTGGACTGGAAGGGTGTTGGACTAGAGGCAGGAAAATCTGGGATAGGGTCTTGGCTGTGTCATTTACTGGTTACATGACCATGGACAAATTGTTAATATAACCAGGACTGGATTTCCTTATCTGGAAAAATCAAACAATAATACCTACTTTTTAGGTAAGTATGAGGATTAAATGAGACAGTGCCTAATAGAGGTGGCAAATATTTGGTATGAGTGCCATATCCCATGTCCACAGCTAACCTCAAAAACCTATGTTGTTACTTTTTCCCACTTATTAAGTATATATCTGTCTACCTGAATATATCTCAAATTCACAAACTCAACTTCTTTTTTCTTCAGTCCTAGGGACTGAACCCAGGGCCTTCACACTGAGCTACATTTCTTCGCCCATTTTTAAATTTTGAGACAGTGTCTAAGTCTCTAAATTACCCAGGTTGGGCTTTAATTTGCAATTCCCTTCCTCAGCCTTCAGAGTAGTGGGATTATAGGTATGTGCCACCATACCCAGCTTTTTTTTTTTTTCTTTTTCTTTTTTTGGAACCAGGAATCAAACTCAGGATCTTGTGCTTGCCAGGCAGGCGCTTTGCCACTGAGCTATATCCCCGGCCCAATACTCAGCTTTAAATTCAACATTTTAAGAAGGATTTCTGCTTTTCTGTCCAAAACCTGCTCAATCTATAGCTTTCTCCACCTTAGTGCATGATAACTATATCCTTCCAGATATTCAGGCCAAAAGCCCAAGGTCATCTGTGATCCGTCTCATCCTCTCATACCACCATAAGAAGAATTCCTGGTGACTTTACCTTCTAAATGTATCCAGATCCCATTCTTTTGCCTGGATTATTGTAATGACCTCCTAATTGGTCTGTTGGTCCATTGGCTTCTCAAAGTAGCCAATGGCATCCTTTAAACAGGTTGTTTGAATCATATTATTCCTTGTAAAACTCCAGTGGCTCACAGTCTCACTGAGACTAGAAACCAAAGGTTTTTTTTGGGGGGGGGGTGCTGGGAATTGAACTCAGGACCTTGTGCTTGCCAAGCAGGTGCTTATGCCACTGAGCTATATCCCTGGCCCTAGTAGCTAAAGTTTTGCTGTGGCTTTCAGAGCCTTATGTGATGCAGCTTCCTATTTCCTTTCTGATAAAATTTTCTACAGCTCCCTTATTCACTGTGCTCCTTGATGTTCGGCCTCCTTGATATTCCATAAGCACCTCAGGCACCTGTGCAGATGGCTCTTCCTCTAGGCATCTGCATGGTTCACTTTATTATTGCTGACAAACCTTGGCTCAAATGTCATGCTTTCTATGAGGCCTATTCTGACCACCCCGCTTAAAAGTGATCCCTGATCCCTGGCACTTTTGATGTTCCTTATGCTGTCCTAATCTTTCTGTCTCTGTCTCTGTCTCTGTCTCTGTCTCTGCCTCTCTCTCTCCATGTAACTCATGCCTTTTTTCTTAACATACTGTATTATGTGTTTATAAATTATGTGTATTATTTATTGCCAGAATTCCAGCTCCATGAAGGCAGAGATTTTTTGTATGCCTGATGTGTGCGAAGTATCTAGAAGAGTGCCTTATACTGTGCATTTCCCATGGCCAATGAATATTGTTGACTTAATGCATAAACTTAGTATGTATTCAACATCTTTCTTAACATCGAACTCTAGTCAAGCACTCATCATTAATTGATATTGGTCTATAGAAGTGAGTCTTTGCCACCCCTATCCTGGCACATACAGAATGTTTGGTCAATGTTTTAAAAACAAAAACATATTTCATCCTCTGAAACTCCTTTGCACTATTGTAAAACAAGTTGGTGTGACTTATGCATCCCTTTATATATGTGTCTCTGAAGGAGAGATACTCTAAAAATCTCAGGAAAGAGGTTGGCATTGACCCTCGGATTGCAGTTGTTGCAGGAGACATCATGCCCCATCTTCTCAGTAGTGTCAGAAGGACACTATCTCTGCAAATGGGATGCATCCTGGGACGCCACTATGTGTGTCTCATTTCCTTTCAGGGTCCAGCACTGTCTTGATGATCACTGATCAACCAGGGTGATCCTCCTGTACTTGCTTGAAGGATGATTCCCCTCAAAGATATGTCCATGTCTTAAATCTCAGAATCTGTGAATATTACCTTACTTGGATAAGGGGTCTTTGCAAAAGGAATTAAATTAGATGAAATCATTCTGGATTATCTGGATGGAGCCTAAATCAAATAACAAGTTATCATATAAGAGAAAAGCAGAGGAATATTTGAGACAGACAGAAGAGAATAAAGTGCAGAGAAGAAAAGAGGCAATGCTATAAAGAGACTGGAGTGATACAGCCACAAACCAAACCAGAATGCTGACAGCAACCAGAAGCTAGAAGGGGCAAAGAATAGATAGCCTTCCAGGGTCTTCAAAGGGAGCGTTGCCTTGTTCATACCTTGATTTTAGACTACTCACCCTGAGAACTTTAAAAGAATACATTTTTGTTCTTTTAGGCCAGAAAATCTGTGGTATTTGGTTTTGGCAGCTGCAGGAAATGAATACCTGCCCTGACGTCATGTTCTTTCCAGGACATGACATTGACTAACCTAACAATGGTAAATTCATCAAATATTCCAGGGATACTAAAGGTTAACAAATAACACAAATGTGGAGACTTTTTTTTTTTTCTTTTTGAGACAGGGTCTCACCATGTAGTTCAGGCTGGCCCTGAGCTCACTTTGTAGTCCAGGCTGGTATTGAACTTGTAATGATCCTCCTGCTTCAGCCTCCCGAATGCTGGGGTAACAGGTGTGCACCACCACGTCCAGCAAGACCTTTTAACAGTGCTTTTTAAAAAAGCTATCTATTAATCCAAATGGATTTTAGCTCTTTGGGGCTTTTTGGTGGGACTTATAGAATTTCAGTGGTCTTCAAAATTGTCTTGTCTGATGGTCAACTTAATGTTTGAATAATGCTTGAATCCCTTGCAAAGTAATTATCTAATCCATTCATCATTGATTTTTTTTTATCTCTTAGATAGATTCATAAACCATCTAATAGTTTTCTTAATTTTATGTTGAGAATATTTTCATTCTTTAGTCTTGGGGAAACCATATTTTTTGACTAGTGATCAACAACATGAGCTACCTGGAGAAAATGTTGTTAGAAATTCAATAACTTTTTCCCTTTATTGGTTCACGTGTACAGAGGACTCTTGAGGGAGATTATTGTTTTGTACACAGACCATTCTATTAGGTCAGGTGAGTCTTTAGGGAAAGTGAAGTATTGTGGCAGGCTGGTTATGTGGGAGGTGGTACCACTTACCTGCTCTGTGATCAGGGGTATGTTACTGTGACTGAAGAGATAAGGTACTGTACTTATTTCAAGGAGTCTTTTTGAGGATTACATGACAGATACATGTTGTGCTCACATTAATGACACTATAAATATTAATTTGACTACAATTCTAGTTGAAAGGGACCATGTTTTGGATGAGGGGGGCTGAGGTGATTCTGCGTAGAAAACCACAAGATTTGGGTTCTATTCTATTCAACTCTGCTACTGTCTGGCTGTGCAATGCCACTGAGTTTGCTTAACTGCTGGATCTCATTCTGACTCCAAATGCCATCCTCCTTACCATTAGGCACACCTGTAGTCACATAGGGTTGAAATATGTCTTTTAAAAAAAGTTTATACATAAATAAACCCCCCATTTAGACTCACCAAAGACCCTTAGAACATAATTGGAAAACATCTTTTCATCTGAGTTTCTCGTGTGTATCTGGGCTCGGTAAGATCCTGAGTCTGTCCTTGTGAGGTTGTGGAAATGTAAGGAACAAGATTTGGTGCAGTTCGTTTTCTTGTTATGATTGAAAATCAGGACCTCTGGACTTCCAGATGGCTGGCACATAGTGATATATGAGTTATTGTGACTCCAGATGATCATACTGATGTTCTCTTCTGCTGGAAACTTTAGGGGAAGAGTTACTGACTCCCCCACAACCCCATTCACCATCACTGGGATTAAGCTGCTCTGTGAAATTGCATTCCCTGTAGACACAGAAGAAAAAGACTACAAAACTGTTCTTGACAACTGTCCCCAACCCCTTAAAGTCTCCCAGTCAGTCACAGATCTCCCATGTTGAGCCCAAGAATGTGGGACATAGAGCCAGGTGTGGTGGCACATGCTTATAATCCTAGCATTCTGGGAAGGTCATAAGTTCCAGCCCAGTCTGGACAACTTGTCTGAAAATAAAAATTTCTTGAAAGGGCTGAGGATGTAGCTTGGTGTGAAGGCCCTGAGCCCAATTCACAGTAGTACAACAATAACCAGAAAACCCCAAACAACAAGAAAACCATAACCAAACCAAATAAAAATCAGGCAAAAAAAATCTATTCTGGTAGAAGTCAAGAGAGTGGCTACCTTTGAGAAGGAGAGAAAGGTAGGGGTAGGGAAAGTAATATACAGGGGAGAATTAGGGTTTCTTGTAATGTTCTATGTCTTGATCTGTGTCTGCTACACAGATATTTAGTTTATGATAATTCATTGAGCTAATACTTAGGATCCTTACAGTTTTCTCTTTGTATTAAAAAACATTTAAGATAAAACTCATTTAAAATTTAAAACAGCAAACAAACTAACCCAAAGCAAAATCACTGTAATAGCTTGTAAGGATGGTTATGAATCAATCCCAGCATTATCTAGATCCAGCCACCTCTGAAAAAGCTGAGCCTATGACTGGATGAGGCTTTGAGGGAATATCTAGACACAAGCCATAACTTTCTACCTCCAGCCCCCTAAAAGACTTATGCATATCTCTTTATACATTTAGTCCATCTCTAAGAGTTGCCAAAGTCTTAACTGTTTCAGGATTGCTGAAAAGTCCAACTCCAAAGTCTCCTCTGAGATTTAAAGTAAACTCTTAGCTGGGAGCTCCTGCACAAATGAAAAGAAAGTTAAACACTTCCAACATTCGGTGGCACAAGATAGAAATTTCCTTCCAAAAGTTACAAACAAGAGGATGGCAAGGAATGGGAACAAAGCAAGATCAAAATCCATCCGGGTAAACATTAAATTCCATGGTGCCACTTCCAGCATCCTAGGCAATCTGTAACAAGTTGTGAACTCCAAAAGGCTTGTGTGGCTCCACCTCTATGGCACTTCTGGTGGTTGTAGCTCTTGTGGCTTTTCTCCTGGGTGGCTCTGCTTCACCATTGTAGTTTTCCTCTGACAATTGTAGAGGATTTTCCTCTACAATTTCCTCTACTAATTTTCCTCTGACAATTTCCTCTACTAGTTTTCCTCTGACAATTGTAGAGGATTTTCCTCTACAATTTCCTCTACTAATTTTCCTCTGACAATTTCCTCTCACCATTGTAGTTTTCCTCTGGCTGCTCCAATCTTCTAGGGTCTCCACTGCACCTTTAGTTTCACAGTCACAGCTTCATACACTGTCCTCTCAGGGGCACACTGCCTGGCCTCCCGGTGGCCTTCTTCTGAAATCTCTGTAGAGGCCTTCCTGACCCCAAAACTCTTGCATTCTGCATGCACCTAAAACCAGCACCTCATGGATGATGTCAAGATCTGCAGCCAGTTGGAGCAATAGCCAGGTTTCTTTCTCTCTTGGCTATAGGGATCAAGTGCCTAAATGTCTGAGTACTCTGAACCCAGTTCTGAGAAACAGATACTCTAGACCACTGCTATTCTAGAACATAGTGCTCTGGGGTTTTCTTCTGAAAGCAGTCCTTCACCTTTGCATCTATGAGGCTGCAAAGGGTGGAACCTTTCTGCTTCTTATGCTTCCCTAAAGCCATCTTTTCTGTTATTTTCTTTTGAAACACTTGTCTTTTTCTTGCTAGTCTTTTCTGTGATGATTTCTCCTCTGGTCCATCTTTCCAAGCTGCAACTTTTACAAGAGTTTTCTTTCTGGCCAACCTCACATTTAGGATCATTATCTGGGCTCTTTTCTATTGATTCTCAACATAAATCTGGCTAAAAGCCCCCAACAGTAGTCATGCCACCATCTCAACATTAGACTGCCTTGAAATTTCTTCTGCCAGATTAATTAGTCCACTGTCCTTAATCTCAGTCTCAGGCAAAGTCTCTGGACATGACCAAAATACAGATAAAATTAATGTCAAGGAATAACACATATCATGTGGGGTCCAACAGCCATTGCAGTCCTTCCCAGCAGAAACCTCCTGAGCCTGGTCTTTACTGGAAGAATTTGTATCAGCCTTCTGTTCTTCTGTGCTCTGACCAGAATCTCCCATCAAATACAGCCACAAGTGTTCCAGCTGTACTTTTTCAGCCAGCATCTCCAAACCTTTCCACAAGCCAGTCCCAGGGGCTCCTAAACCATGTGGTCAGGTGCAGTCACAGCAATGATCCTACTTTTCTGGTACCAAATCTGTCTTAGTTACTTTTCACTTGTTGAGATAAAATATCTGACACTCAAAGTTAAAGGAGGAAAAGTTTATTTGGCTTACAGTTCATAGAAGTTTCAGTCCATGGTTGGCTGGCTCCAAGACAGGGTGCCACATGGTAGAGAGGCATTGCAGAGGAGAAACAGTTCATTGCAAGTGGGAGACAGCAAAAGCAAGCAAGGGATGACCATGGCTCTTTCTATGCCTTATATCTTACCCAGGCTACTTGAGGTGGGTACCACTGACACCCCTAATCCAAGTGTCCATGAACCTAGCATTGCACCATGAATCAATACCAGCATCACACACTCTAGATTCAGCCACCTCTGAAAAAGCCCCACCTATGACTGGATGAGGCTTTGGGGGAACATCTAGACACAAGCCTTAAAAGAGGGGAAAAGTAGGGCTAGAGAGAGTTGCACACTGTACCCAACCACAGTGGACTAAAGGGAATAAATAGACTTAAACAGTTGCAGAGATCACCATCAAGGAAAGGGGGCTGGGAATAAAGATCTCACTGAAATTAGTGGAGAACTGAGTGCTTGGCAGTCCTGCTGTGCTATTCCTCCACACTCTGAATCAATTGAAAGTTTCTGATCATAAGACAGCGTCAAAATATTTGGCTAGCCATACCCATAGGACCATGGCTGTAATCTAATGGAACAGTGCTTGATCAGAGAGGACTATCTTTTTTACATCTTTGTGTGCTTTAATTTTTTTAAAAATTATTTCTTTCTTTTTTAAACTTATCTCCTTTTATTTTATTTTGTATTATTTTTATTTTCTTCTTCTTTAGTCTCTTTTGATCTGATATATAAAAATATATATCACATATATTTACATGTAATATATATAGTTTAGTGTCTATGTAGGTAAAACAGAGAATAAGAATTAATAAATGCATTAGTTTAAAAAAATATCTTTAATGGTCATATGAAGGTAACCACCAAGAAAACATGTATATGGAGGATCCAAATGCAAGCTCTTGTGTCTTGCCAGTCTCTGATCATACTTTCCTACCTCCTCTCTTTCTCCTTCACCCCTGCAAAACTTTGCAGCCTCTCAAACCTTTCCCCTCATTTCAAACAAAATATCATCATCAAAATCCTATATTTTTCCTTACTTTCAGTTCCTTGATTCCTTTTTCTTGGAACTATTTTATCTCTTTTTTCTTTCTTACTCCTTCCATTATCCTCTACTTCTCAACCTAATTTAGTGACTGGGACTGATTCCATTACACTGAGGAGGTGAAGAAGTGAATAAATATCAAAATATAACCAAATCTAAGGACACATCACAGGGAGATAGCATCTAACTAAAGAAATCTCTGCAGTAGTGACAGAGTTCACTATCTTAACTGATCTTCAACCTGCAGCACAGAAACAATGGAAAGATGAGAAAGCAAGGCCACAAGATGCCTCCAAAACTCCCTATCTTCCCAAAAGTTGATTTCACAGGCACCAAGGTAGAAGAAGCTACAGGCAAAGAACTGAAGAACAAAATGTTTGAAGAAATAAAAGAGAAAAAATATAGGCAAAGTCAGAAGATGTTTAGCAAGTTTAAAGAGGATTTAATCAAATAAATAAATAAAGCATTTAACTAATAAAATGTTCAATGAGCTCAAAGAAGAGACAGCAACAAACCAAGTTAAGACAATATTAGATATAATGATAATACGGGTAAAGAATTAGAAATTATGAAAATAAAGCAAGTACAAATACAAGATATGAAAAATTCAGTGGAAAGCATGAGTAGCAGATTGACCAACATGAAATCAGAGTGTCAGAAATTGAAGAGAAAACTGGTGTAACAGATCATGTACAATGGTATCCTAAAAATGACCAAGACACCATGGAAGCTGTACCCAGCAGCTGCTAGATGACTAAAACAACAATTACATCAACACCCACAATTCTCAACCTCAGAATTATAGGAATAAAGAATATAATTAGAATATAGCTCAAAAGGTAAAAAAATTCATTCATCGAAATATTACATAAAATTTCAAATATGGAAGGAGAATTCAATACTTAAGTACAAAAGGCATATGGAATCCTGATAGGCACTACCAGAAAATAACTTCTCCATGACGGAACATCATCAAAATTCCAGAATGTCAACAAAAAGAGAATAGTAGGAGCTGTTAGAGAAAAGTAAGTAACCTATAAAGTCAAGCCTATCAGAATAATTGAATTTCTCAGCACAAACCTTAGAGGGCAGGAGAGTTTACAGCAAAGTTTCTCAAGCCCTAAAAGAAAATAGTTGTCACCCAGACTTCTATATCCTTTATGATTGACAGAGAAGTAAAGACTTACCATGACAAGGAAATTCTAAAGAAACACATGACCACTAAACCAACACTGCAGAAAAAAACTTAAGGGACTCCTAGACAGAGACAAGGAGGTTACCAATATCAAAGGAGCCCAAAGAAAAGTATACATCTAACTAGGAAAGATAGTTAACAAAAGGAAAAAAAGAAAGAATTCAGACTGGAAAAATAATTTAATGACAGGTTATTGTTAATACCTTACAATAACTCTCAATATGAATAGTCTTAACACCTCAATGAAAAGAAGTAGACTTACAGGTTGGATAAAAAAATCCATCCATATGTTTCCTACAAGACACCCACTTTATCCCAGAAAAGCACATAGATTGAAAGGGAAAGGATGGAAAAGGATACATGCAACTGGAGCCCATTAGCAAGTAGGAGTAGCTATGTTATTTTCAGACCCAGAAGACTTCAAGCCAAAACTGATCAAAAGAAGGGAAGATGACCTTTACATACTGCTAAGTGAAACAATTCAGCTGGAGGAGATAACAATTTCAAATGTATATATACACCAAATAGTGGCACACCCAATTTTGTAAAATAAAAACTACTGAATGTAACCAAAGAGACAGCCACCAACACAATCCTAGCAGGAACTTTAAAACCCCACTCTCAAAATTAGACAAGTCAACCAGACTAAAAAAAAAATCACCAAAAACTATCAGGGTTAAACCATGTCACTGAACAAATAGGCTTAACAGATACCTACAGAATGTTTTATCCAACAACAGAATAGAGTATACATTTTTCTCAGCAGCACATACAACTTTCACCAAAATATACAGTAACTTAGGCCATAAAACAGGCTTAAATAAATACAAGAAGATTGAAATAACTTCTTGCTATCATTGGATCATTGTGGAATGAAGCTAGAAATCAACAAAACAAAACAACAACAACAAAATCCAAACAAAGAAAAACCCCACAGAAACTACACAAATACACAAAGATTAATATATTATTAAATAATTATGGATCTCAGAAGACACAGGAATGAAACAAAAATTTCTCTAGAATCAGATGACAGTGAGGTGGTCCAGTGTCACTGCACAGAGTGGTCACCAAGACCCTGGTGCTGCTGCTGTGGGCATCCCCAAGTCCTGAGTCACTAGGCAGGAGCCCACTAATTTATGTATTTTAAGAACTATGGTTGACATGTGGGAAGATCTGGGACTTGGTAACTGGCTCCACTGGAGGAATCCTGGTGCTTGGCCCCTCTGCCTACACCATGGGACCCAGCAACTGACACTTTTCTCTCAATTATTTTTCTTTCTCTCTCTCTCTCTCTTTCTTTCTTTCTCCTCCCTTTTCTAAATGGCTGGAAAGCACTCCAGCCTCAGACAACTAGTCCCATCCAAACCAAGAGACCAAGTTCAAATAATCCTTTGAATACTCCTTTATGCTTTCTTTTCTACCCCCTTCTCTACTTTCCCAAACCCTGCATGACTATCTTTTGTCCTCCAGGCTTGCTTCTACTTCCTTCCCAGTTATCTGAGTTTCATACATTATCCTCACTGAATTTCCCCCACCACAGGGTAAAACCTCTCTACCAAGGGGAAATACTTTGCATACAAACTCTTAATTTACAATCAGTTCTGTTATATAACTATGGACTTTGCTCCTATGGTCTCAAGTACAAAAACAATATTTACTACAGTGTGCCAGTTTCTAAATTGTTATTGCTAATTTTACTGCTTTAGCTAGGATGTCCTATCTGTTGTAATCAGTTCTTGTCCCCTCTTTAACAATACTGGGAAGCTCTGGGATAATTACCCCAGCACAGCCCTACACTGAAGGACTGGGGACTGAGCCAAACAGATACCAACATCCCATTCTATTAACTGGGAAGGTAGGATTTTGGGACAGACTCAAACCAAAAATCTCCTACACATGGAAGACACCCTTGAAGAACAGACTTTCCTAGAGAGGCCTTGATACTGGTGATATAGCTACCTACTGCAAAAACTCACAAGGATCATCACAGAAAATGAAATAAAAATTTTTTTTGAAAGAAAATGACAAGATAAAGAAGCAAAATCCAATCTCAGAACTGCAGTCCATCCAGAACTAGTCCCAGGAGACAGCAACATAGAAGAAATTGGAAGACACACATGAAATTTCTGAAATGATAGCAATCAAAGCAAAGAAACAAATCCTTGAGGCTATAGAGGAAATCAGATCAGAAATAATCTCTCATGTAGAAAAAGAAATGTCAACATTTATAAAGGAATTGCTCAACAAATCTATAGTAGACACAGATAAAAAAATAGATGATGATAGGAAGAGGATGGAAACTATGAGTGATCAATATAGAAAAGAAACAGAATGCATGAAATGGATTCATGACCACCAAACCAACACTACAAAGGACACTAAAGCATATTCTAGACAGAGATAAAAATTACCACAACTCCAAGAACAACAACAGCAAGAAACCACCAAGCAGGCAAGCAATTAAACAGAGAGGAAAAGTAGCAAAACAACAGTGGGAAAATAACATGACAAAGATAAGCCAATACACATCAGTTATAGCCATCAACTCACCAATCAACATGGTCTCAATTCACCAATCAAAAGAAACAGACTGGCAGAATGGACCAAGAAACAAGATCTAACAATGTGCTGTATACAAGAAACTTAAAAAAAAATACATAGACTAAAAATCAAAGGATGGAAACCAATACACCATGCAACAGGAACTGAGAAAAAAGCAAGGGTAGCTATTCTGGTTGCAGACAATGTGAACTTCAAACCAAGGATGATCAAAAGAGAATAAGACAGTCACTATATACTTGTTAGGGGAAAAATTCAAGAGGAAGAGGTAACAATCATAAATATATATGCACAAACTACAGGAGCACCTAGCTATATAAGACAAATATTAATAGACATGAAAAATCAAATATGTAATAACACAGTTATAATAGGACACCTCAAAACACCATTCTCACAAAGAGCTAGATCAACAGACAAAAAATTAGCAAAGAAATAACAGAACTGAACCAAACCTGTGAACAAATGGACTTAGATTTCACAGAGTGTTCCACTTAACAACATCAGAATACACACTCTTCTCAGCTGTATATGGGATGTTCTCTAAAATAGACCATATACTAGCACATAGAACATGCTTAAGTAAATGCAAAGGAATTGAAATTATTCCCTGCATATTATCTGAGCATAGTGCCATGAAATTGGAAATTAATGACAAATGAAACTGCAAAACCTTCATACACATATGGAAACTAAATAACATCCTCCTGAACAACCAGTGGGTCACAGATGAAATTAAAAAAGACATTAGGCAATATATACAATCAAATGAAAATGCAAACACAACCTGCTGAAATCTGTGGAATGCAACGAAATCAGTTCTCAGAGGGAAATTTATAGTGGTAAATTCTCACATCAGGAGAACAGAATGAGCACAAATAAACAGGCTTATGTTGCACCTCAAGCTTCTAGTAAAAGAAGAACAAGTCAAACCCAGAGCCCAAAGAAGATCAGGGCAGAAATTAATGCAATTGAGACTAAGAAAACAATAAAAAGAATCAATGAATCAAAGAGTTCATTCTTTGAAAGAATAAATAAAATTGATAAACTGCTAGCTACCATTATCAAAAAAGGAAAGAAAAAACTCAAATTCATGCAACAAGGAATGAAAAGTGTGAAATTACTGCAGACCCTGTGGAAATTCAGTAAACCATCAATACCAATTTCAGAAATCTTTACTCACATAGGATGGAAAACACAGAAAAATGGACACATTCCTCGAAATGTATGAATTTCTAAAGCTGAATTAAGAATATATATAAACTCTGAATAACCCAATATCAGTTAATGGAATTGAAAACGTGATTAAAAACTTACCAACAAAGAAAAGCCCAGGTCCTGATGTATTCATGGCTGAATTCTACAAGAAATGTAGAGAAGATTTAACACTAATATTCCTCAAACTCTTTAATGAAATTGAACGGGAAGCAATTCTCCCTAACTCATTTCTAGAGGCAAGTATTAGCCTGATACCTAAACTAGAAAGAGACTCAACCAAAAACCAGAACTACAGGCCAATCTCCCTAATGAACATAGATGAAAAAATCCTCAATAAAATAGTAGAAAACAGAAAGCAGCAAATCATCAAGAAGATTATATACCATAGCCAAATGGGATTCATCCCAGGAATGCCGGGATGGTTCAACATAAGCAAATCAATAAATGTAATACATCATATCAACAGAACTAAAGATAAAAATCACGTGATCATCTCAGTATATGCAGAAAAACCTTTTGATAAAGTCTAACAGGCATTTATGATAAACTCCTACAGAAAATTGGAATAGATGCTCTTTACTTCAATCTGATAAAAGCCATCTATGACAAACCAACAGTCAACATCATACTAACTGGACAAAAATTGAAAACTTTCATTCTAAAATCAGAAACAAGACAAAGATGTCCACTATCACCACTCCTATTCAATATAGTTCTGGAAACAATAGCCAGAGAAATTATACAAGAGAGGGAAATAAAAGGAATAAGGATAAGAGAGGAAGAAGTGAAATTATCATTATTTGCAGAGATACAACACTCTACATAGAAGACCCCAAAAATTTCACCAAAAAATTGCTAGAATTAATAACCAAATTTAGTAGTGTGCCTGGATACAAAGTCAACACTCAAAAATCAATAGCATTCCTGTATACAAGTAACAAACTTGCTAAGAGAGAGATTAAGAAAACCACACCCTTCACAATGGCCTCCAAAAAATTAAATACTTAGGAATTAATCTAACAAAGGTAGTAGAAGATCTATACATTGAAAACTGTAGTACTCTGAAAAAGGAGATCAAAGAGGGTATCAGAAAATGGAAAGATATCCCTTGCTCATGGATAGGAAGAACAAACATAGTGAAAATGGCCATACTCCCAAAACTGTTATACAGATTTAGTGCAATCCCAATCAAAACACCATTAGCATACCTCACAGATCTAGAGAAAAAATTCCTAAAATTCGTTTAGAAACAGAAGAGACCTAGAATAGTGAAGTAATTCTGAGCAACAAAGGCAAATCATGGAGTATCTCAATCCCAGATCTGAAATTATAGTACAAAGCTATTATGATGAAATCAGCATGGTATTGGCAAAAAAACCAGATCTGAGGATCAGTGGAATAGAACAGAAGATGCAGACACAACTACAAACACACTCAGCCACCTTATCTTTGATAAAAGGGCTAAATGTGTACACTGGAAGAAAGATATCCTCTTTAATAAATGGTGCTGCAAAAACTGGTTTGCCACATGCTGAAGACTAACTATAGGCCCACGTCTATCACCACACACTAAACTAAAGTCAAAATGGATCAAATATCTAAATATTAAAACTAAACACTAAATCTACTGGAAGAGAAAATAGGTAGAAATTTTGAAGAATAGGTATAGGCAAAAATTTCGTGAACAACCCCCAGACTGTGTGGGAAACACTACAAAGAATAAAGAAATGAGATTTTACCTCATTAAAAACCTTTTTCACAGCAAAAGAAATCACCAACAGAGTGTAAAGACAACCCACAGGGTGGGAAAAAATTATAGCCAGCTGTCCCATAGACAAAGGATTTATATCTAAAACATATATAAAAAATTGAAAAAATTAGACCTCCCAAATTCAAAGACCCAATCCACAAAATAGGCATCTGAGATGAATACACACTTCTCAGATGAAGAAATACAAACAGCAAATATATGAAAAAATGTTCAACATCACTGATCATTCAAGACAGGCAGATTAAAACAACACTGAGATTCCATCTCACCCCAGAAAGAATGGCTATCATCAAGAAATCAACCAACAACAATTGCTGGAGGGTCTGTGGGGAAAACGGATCCCTTCTCCACAGTTGGTGGGAGTGTAGACTGGTGCAACCAGTGTGGGCATCAGCGTGGAGATTCATCAAAAAACTAGGATAAGAGGTGCCATTCCACCCAGCTATTCCCCTTTTGGGTATCTTCCCAGAGGAATTAAAAAGATACTATCACAGTGATATATATGCATGATATATCAAGCACAGTTTTTAATAGCTAAATCTTGGAAACAACCCAAATGCCTATCAAATGAGAAATGGATAAAAAAGATGTGGTATTTTTATACAATGAAATACTACTCATCCATGAAGATGGGTAAACTGAAGACTTCTATAGGTAAATGGATGCAACTTGAGATCACACTCTTAAGTGAAATAAATAAGACTCTCATATGTAAACATCATATTATCTCCCTAGTGTGAGAAGCTGAAAGAGTAAGTAAGATCCAAAATGTACAATAGATATTGTGAAATGGGAAGAAACTTCAAAAAGAAAGAGAAACTGGGATGGGGGAAGGGAGAAAAGAAGAAAGGGAAAAGGAAAAAATTATATATGTGCAAGATAGTTAAGATATTATACTAATTTCTCTTAGTTCATTGGAAAGAAATGTTTGTGCTTATATTGTTTGATCATTTTTTATGCCTATATCTTGTAATTTGAGCAACTATTTGAAGATAATAATATGCAAAGTATTAACCATTGTTATTCTCCTATCTTGTTTTGAAAATTTGTCATTGTTTTTCTCTTTAAAATAAAAAAAAGTAACATCTTCTGGAAGATAAAATAGTTAAAAACTCTTGAAGACACCAGCATAGGCAAGGACTTTCTGAACAGAACACCAATTGTACAAGAAATAACATCAAGAATCAATAAGTGAGATAATATCAAATTAAAAAGCTTCTACACAGCAAACAACCAAAAAAGTGAGAACAAAACCTACAGAATGGGAAAAATGGGCAACTGAAATGAATAGTAACTTCTCCAAAGAAGAAATACAAGTAACCAATAAGTACATGAAAAAATGCTCAATATCTTTAGCCTTAGAGAGATGCAAGTCAAAATAACGCTAAGATTCAGCCTTACTCTGGAAAGAAGGGCTAGCATCAAGAATTCAAAAAACGTACTACAGAGGTTGTTGGGAAAAAAGAACACTTCTACACTGCTGTAGGAATGTAAATTAGTACACCCACTATGGAAATCAGTATGGAGCTTCTTCAAAAAACTAAAAATACAGCTACCATATGATACAGCTATACCACTCCTCAATATATAGCCAAGAAAATATATTCTGGCATATGATAGGGATAGTATATATTCAAATTTATAGTTGCACATCTCACAATAGCCAAGATATGGAACCAGCCTAGCTACCCATCAACACATGCATGAGTAAAGAAAGCCTGATATATACACACAATGGAGCATTATTTAGCCACAATGAAAGTCAAAATTATGTCATTTGACTGGGTGTGTTGGTGCACACCTGTCATCCCAGCACTCTGGAGGCTGAGGCAGGAGGATAATTGCAAGCTTGAGCCACCTTAGGCTACATAGTGAGTTCAAGTCCAGCCTGAACTATATAGTGAGACCCTGTCTCAACAGAACAAAACAAAAATATGTTACTTGCAGGGAATGGATGGAACCGGAGACCAACAAGTTAAGCAAAATAAGCCAGACTCAGAAAGGTAATTATGGCACATCTTTCCTAATACTTAGAATCTAAACCAGATGACATGAAAGTAGAATGGGGACTGCTATTAGGTAAGAGGAAAGGAACAGGGGAAGGGCGAAGGAGTTGCAAGTGAGGGTAATGGGGGAGATGGATTACTAATTATTACATTAGGAGCTCACCATGCTGACATGAATTTGTTGAGTTGAAAATTGTGTCCACTACACTCTGTTAAGTGAACATCAGGTTATATAACAGTATATATAGGACTGCAAATTTTTACTTTAAAAATGCATTAATTTATAGAGGTATCAAGAAACCATCTAAAATGGTATTCATTTAACTGTTGTAATCCATCTCAGGGAGTGAGATACTGAGTATATTTTTCCTTTTGTTTAAGAGTAATTTTTAACTTGTGCTATTATGTGAGGTGATAGATATGTTAATTAGGTTGATTGTAGTAATTAGTAATTATGTCACAATACATATGTATCCTTTTTTTTTTTTGAGACAGGTTCTCATTATGTAGTTCAGGTCTGCCTTGAACTTGTGGAGATCCTCTTGCCTTAGCCTGAGTGCTGGAATTACAGATGTGTGCCACAACACCTGCCATATGTATCTTAATACATGATATTTTATATCTTAAATATATATGATTTTACTTGTCAATTATGCTCAATTAAAAAAATAAGTTTGAAAGTGTGTGTGTCTATATATGTTTGTGTAGTACTGGGGACTGAACTCAGAGCCTTCACACTGAGCTACATCCCTGGCCCTTTTTGTTATTTTGAGACATGGTTTCTCTAAATTACCCAGGCTGGGCTCAAATTTGTGATCTTCTTGCCTCAGCTTCTTCCCAGAGTGCTGGGATTATAGTATGCACCACCATGCTTGGGCTAAAAAAAAAAAACTAAAAAAAAATAAAAGAAGTTTGGCCCCTATCTCTCATCATATGCAAAAATTAACTCAAAATGTATCATTCACCTACATATGAGTTAAAACTGTAAAATCTTAGAAGAAAATATAAGGGTAAATATTCATGATCTTGGCAATGAATTCATAGATATGGTACTAAATGTACAGGCAATGAAAGAAAGACATAAATTATTCTTCATTAAAATAAGAAATTTTCATCAAAGATGCAATGAAGAAAATGAAAAAAAAAAAAACTTAGAGAATGGGAGAAAATATTTCCAAATTGTTCATCTGACAAAAACCTAGTTTCAAGAAGATACAAAGAACTCTTACAACTCAACAACAAAAAGATAAATAATCTGGTTTAAAATGGGCCTAAGGAGAGAGTCAAGATGCAGGTAGCAGTTCACAGCCTTGAATAAAGACACCTTGAAAAAAGATACTCTGTAAGGAGAAAATAAAGCACTCT